CGTTCTGACTGGCGTCAGCGTCCGTGGCCGATACCTTGGCAACCAAGTAGCCTGGTTCTGCAAACCTGGATATTGTCTCGACTGCTGCTGATCCAAACTCGGCTAATGGTTGCACAATGACTGGAGCATTGTCATTCTGATCAAGGATAATAATATTCACGGAAACATTACTTGCGAGTGGTGGTGTCCCAGAGTCCATGACCTGAGCTTGAACCTGAAAGTTTTTCAATTTCTCGTAATCAAAAGATCTCTGCGCGTATATGACGCCAGTCTCCGAGTTAATAGAAATGTAAGTGGCTACCGAGGCGTTCAGAACCCGAGTCTCCAGGATAGAGTATTTCAGTTGCGTGTTCAGTCCCACATCTGGGTCAAAGGCTGTGATGGAAAAAATAGACGCGCCAATAGCATTGTTCTCCTTGACATTTGCGGTGTACAAATGCTGCGAAAACCTCGGCGGGTTGTCATTTATGTCGGAAATCTCTACCCGGATGATTTTCCTCGACGTGAGAGGTGGATGTCCTGCATCCGTGCATGTTATTGTAACGTCATAGTTGGAACAGTTTTCACGATCCAGTGGATGTTGTACGAGCAATCCATAATAATTCTTCAAAGAAGAATCTATTCTAAAGGGTAATTTGTTTGAAACGTGGCATTGTACTTGCCCGTTTCTCCCTGAATCTTTGTCTGCAGCGCTGAACAGAGCGACTACGGTCCCAACAGGAGCATCTTCTGAAATTGCGCCAGACAAAGACGTCAACGTCATGTCAGGTGGGTTATCATTCACATCGAGAATGTTCACCAACACTTCACAGTGCCCCGACATAGCGTCAGAAGCCCCATCTGTTACTTGAACATTGATACCAAATGCTTTGTTTTCTTCATAGTCCAATTTTCCTTTCACTCTGATTTCACCAGTTTTTGAATCCACACTAAACAAATCCCGAGCTCCAAAGGTACTGCGGCTACTGATCGAGTAAGTTATCTCTCCATTGTGGCCATCGTCCGGGTCAGTAGCATTTAACGCGATTACCTGCGTTCCCGTGGTTGTATTTTCTAATATACTGACTCGATAAACTGACTGTGAGCAGGCAGGGACGTTGTCATTTGCATCCTTTACAATGATTATAACCTGAACCGTGCCCGATCTGACAGGGACACCACCGTCCTTGGCTATCAGTATTAAACTGTGGGTAGACTCTTTTTCTCTATCCAAAGAACTCTGCAGCACCAGCACTGGTAATTTTTCTACTTCATCGCGCAGCTGCACATCGAGAACAAAATGATTGTTAGAAAGAAGGTCGTAGGATTGTACAGAGTTGGTTCCAACGTCCGCATCATGCGCTGACTCGAGTGGAAAGCGCGTTCCCGTCGAAGAAAGCTCTGAAATTTCAAGGTGGAATTGTCTCTTTGGGAAACTGGGAGTGTTGTCATTTACATCGAGAATCTCCACTTCAATCGGGTACAGCTTTAAGGGGTTTTGAAGTAAACCGCTCATGGATAAAACGCAACTCAAACCTGGCCCACAAATCTCTTCCCTGTCAATTTTTTCTTTCACAAATAATATGCCAGTGTCCATGCCTATGTCCACATATTGTTTCCTAGGACCGGGCAAAATTCGAAAATTACGAGCCGAGAGTTGCTTTATATCTAAACCCAAATCCTCAGCGATATTCCCAACAAAGGCGCCGAGTTGCAGTCCTTCTGGAATCGAGTAACGAATTTGCCCAAACACTAGATTCCGCGAGGAGAATACACAGTAGAACAACTGACATGTTAGAAACCAAAATATTTTACATCTCATTTCCACTGTAAAACATTCCCGTTGTTTCACAATATGTCCGCACCATGAAAATATTCATGAATTATCAGTCTGATTCAAATTCGAATCAACTGCAATGCAGCAAATACCTGAATGTTTCTCAAGTCACTCGGATAATTTTATCTAAATCCTTATTTTTTTGTCCAAAATTATCAGTGGATTCGTGAACGATTCCTGCCGAGCTGTTCGCTATTCAATTTTGTTCTGCGTCTGATCGGACGTGAAGTTGTCTGGGTAGTGAAGGGGGCTGTCCAGATCTCCATTCCCAACTTAGGTTCTGATTGGTGAATGCCAGCTCATTGAAATTCGACCAACCAAACGCCATTCATTTCTTAAAGCTGCAATGTCTAAAATGAGCGCAAAGACTTTGATTTATTATTGCACAACTCAAAATTGCACAATGATTTTATATTCTACACTGGATTGCACTCTGCGCTGCAAGAAGCGTTGGAACAGAATTCTCAGGAATAAGTTGTGTCAAGATTGTTGAATATTTGACAGATAAGGGCAAAAGTAGTTAAGATCATTCTTTGCGCCAATAATAGCGGACAAGTCATAATCTATATACAATAGGTGGGTTCTGACTTCCCTTACCAACTAGTTCATGCTCATCAAAGCAAAACTAATTTTGTACCGTTCTGCTAGGCAATCAAGTAATGGAAATTAAAACATTGAAATTTCCATAATTCTCAATTTCTCTTCCAGACATCCAGCTAACAATCTTGTTAGATTATAGGTTAACCTGCAATTCGTTTCTCTGCTCCACAAACCGATTAATCTTCAAAAAATTAACCAATTGCGAACATTGCATGAATATTGAAGGTAAGCACACAACCAGCCCTCAGTCCCCCTATCTTTCACTTTTGTCCAAGATAAATAGTCTGCCATTTTCAAAATCAACAAATGGACTTAATGTTTTAAGGATACACATGCGTGAACCTCTTTTCCATTGGTTATAGAGTAGACTAAATTTGTTGCTCCTACAGTTATGCAAAACGATTAATTACAAAGGCCTAAAATAATCAGAGCTACCTTACAAATTCCAAGGCAGAAACGATAGATTAATCAGAAATAAAAGCAATGGGTCAGCAATGGGCATGAAATAGTTTGCATAATGTCATATATCAACTTGCCATTTGTTGAAACTCTTCTCTTCCATTTACACCTATGTTTTGAGTTTGCTATATTCTGACATCTTTAGAATTGAATAAATATTTCCTCCATTTGATTTATTATCTTTCCCACTTATTTTATACATTTTATAACTGACAATACCCATAGTCAAGTATTCTTATCCAGATTAAATATCTTTTCAGAACTTCAAGGAGTTTTTAAATTGTCAAGTATCACATCGAAAATAACTGTTTTTCTTTCATCTCACTCTTTACTGACACACATCTGCATCACTGGGAAAAGTAATTACAAGCCTATTATTTGCGCATATGATTGAGAATAATTGTGAAATGCTGGGATCCGTCGTACGACCCACTAAGTTCCCTAGTCTCTGTTTAATGTGAAAGGAATCAGAAGTTTTACACATTCTAAACAATGAAACGAAAGTACTTTGTTAGGAATTATGAGCAAATAAGTCACAACTGCAAGTACTGTCCATTTCCCGAAAAGAGCTTAAGAGTTTGGACAGGTTTTCACAATAAGGTGATGATTTCCAAGCTTGTGCAATGTCCATTGTGGTTGCAGTTAAGTTAAATCAGGCACTCTTAGATCACTAGTTCCCTAGTTGATCAGAATGTCTTGTGCAGTGGGAATACCATCAAAGTCCTATGGTTCCAAAGTACTTGACATTTCCTCTAGATTATCCACAAACAATTTCCTAAGTCTTAAAATCCAGAGCCAATTTCACTTCTGCAATGTTATCAAATGCCCATTGTAAATCTAATTAAAGATATCTATTTACTTTCGGTCACATAGACAATTATGACAATTCTATTGTATTTCGTGGTGCAGTCTGCCATTGCTCATGCTATATTAGCATTTTTGTGCACTAGGTGTATTATTTCTGCAATTTACTGAATGGTGGAATGTTTTGGATGGTACATGAACTGGAATTCGTTACCATTGTAGTCCCTTGCTTTGTTTTTGAACATGGAGACTCATTAATACATGTTCCCAGCTGCAGTGGTAATAGAATCTCGGGGGAAAATGCAGGATTAAATGAAACCTGCAAATTCCTCTACTCATCAATAGCTTAATTTTAGTTATGCAAAGTTGGATTGTAGTATTAGGATATGGAAATCAAATTTCAAGGTCCAAAAATATGCTTCATGTATTGCATTCCAACATTACCTTTTCTGCTCCAATACAGGAGATTGGCTTCTATTGAGGATAACTGTATGAAATTTCCATTTCCTTTCTGCTGTTTAATGCCTGATAAAATAGGAGATATATTCTTTCTTTTGGAGCACAATGCGATCTAATGACTGGAGTTACAAAATATTCTTATTGACCCGAGGCTCATCACCAGAATAATCGAACTAAGGAGGTTTGTTCAACGAGTAAATCACGTGAACAGGCCATTTTTCTATAGGATTTAGAATTAAGTTCGAACATATACAGTATCCATACAATGTGGACACTAAAACAGTTCAATGGGAATAAATCTGAAAAAAGAAAGCTAAGTTGACCTAAGTTCACTATTTCCAAAGCTTGCATGAACTTATATCAATTTAGAATAACCGGACAGTCAGGAAAATGCTGATATAAACAGCTGACACCGCAACAACTGATAACTAGCCAAATTGTTTTCTGGACATGTGTGCAATTGCTACTCCATTGTCGAAGAACGTGTTCTGCAGCTGCATGACTTCGTGTCTGCAAATAGTTAATCATAGGTGGTTACACTCCATTATTCATTGTGTGAAAAGTCGACCGTTTCCATAAATTCAAAGGAACTCCAATAGGTTTTGAAAGTCCTGACAGGTAGCCAAGGCTACCAGAACACTATTTTAATCAGCTATACAATGTAAGACTGCAATCCTGTTGCAGAGAAAAGTATACAGATATTACAAGATATGATACCACCAGAGATTACTTTCAACAAGAACAGGAAATAATGCAGAAAACATGTGAATAATGCGTTAGGTTATTACTTCTATTTGAAGAATTTCAAGATACATAATAATTTCCCATATTGCCACACAGCCAAATCAAAGCCGCGAGGTTCTTATTCTCCATTAAGAAGGGTCCTCACCTTATTCTTTAACGTGTTGCTGCAATTTTCAGAATTAATCATTCTTGCGTTTTCTTTCCTGACAAACTCATTTTGGGCACAGTTTCTGTCTGTGTTTGATCTGCATATGTTGGGATTTATGACATGTCCCTTTGTTGACTGCAATGTTGAACATGACTCATAGCGGAACCTCTGAGAAAGTGGGTCACCCCCGAACACCTCGACGTAGTTCGAAGGGATCTGAAGGTTTCTGCTGGCTTTTTGGATTCTATTCAGAGAATGCCTTGTCTCAGCGCAACAACAGAGTCTCAGGGAACAGTGCTGACTACTTATAATGTTTCTGCTTCTATGAACCATGGCAGCGAGAATAACTAAGATCACGAGAAATATGATAGAAATTCCTCCTAATACGATGACCAAGGAAAGGCCCAGATCAGGAGTGAACGTAGGACCTCCAAACGAACCACTGACGCCGGAGAATGTTGCAGTATCGCCACCATGCACAGATAAAATGATGGTCACTGTGGCAGAAAGTGATGGGTTTCCATTATCTTTCGCAATTATCACCAACCTTTGTTCAGAGGCATCATTATTCGTGATACGACGTATTGTCCAAATCTCGCCAGTGTCTGGTGAAATTGTGAAAAGGTTATGAAGGGTAGCCTGAAAAATGGCATAAGAGACTCGTGCGTTTTGACCGGCATCAGCGTCCGTGGCCGATACCTTGGCAACCAAGTAGCCTGGTTCTGCAAACCTGGATATTGTCTCGACTGCTGCTGATCCAAATTGGGCTAATGGTTGCACAATGACCGGAATGTTGTCATTCTCATCAAGGACAATAATATTTACAGAAACATTACTTGCGAGTGGCGGCGTCCCACGGTCCATGACCTGAGCTTGGATCCGAAAGTTTTTCGATTTCTCGTAGTCGAAAGATCTCTGCGCGAATATGACACCAGTTTCCGAGTTAACAGAGAAGTAAGTGGATACCGAAGAGTTCATAACTTGAGTCTCTAGGATAGAGTATGTCAGTTGAGCGTTCAGTCCAATGTCTGGATCAAAGGCTGTAATGGAAAAAATAGAAGCGCCAATAACATTGTTCTCCTTGACATGTGCGGTATATAAAGACTGCGTGAACCGTGGGGCATTATCATTTATATCCGAAACGTCTACTCGAACGGTTTTTTCCGATGTAAGGAAGGGATTTCCCGCATCCGTGCATGTTATTGTAATATCGTAGCTGGAGACGTTTTCCCGGTCCAGTGCCTGATGAACAAGTATTCCATAAAAATTTTCCAAAGAAGAATCTAGTCTAAAGGGTAATTTATTTGAAATTTGACATTGTACCAGTCCGTTTCTCCCCGAATCTTTATCCGCTGCGCTGAAAAGAGCGACCACAGACCCAACTGGAGCAGCTTCTGAAATTGTGCGTGATAAAGATGTCAACGTCACGTCAGGAGGGTTATCATTCACATCAATAATATTCACCGATACTACACAATGCCCTGACATTGGATCTGATCCCCCGTCAATGGCTTGTATGATAAGCTCGAAGGTATTGCTTTCTTCATAGTCCAACCTCCCTTTCACGTGTATTTTACCAGTCTTGGCATCTACGCCAAACTTTTCCCGAGCAGTAGCTGAAGTGTGGCTACCAAGCGAGTACCTAATCTCTCCATTTAGACCGTCGTCCGAGTCGGTAGCATTTAGTATGATTACTTGCGTCCCTGTTGGCGCAGTTTCCAATAGACTGACTCGATAATCCTTCTGAAAGAAGACAGGAGCGTTGTCATTTGTATCCTTTACAATGATTATGATCTCAACTGTGCCCGATCTCACAGGAATCCCGCCGTCCTTGGCTATCAACGTTAAGCTGTGGCTGGATTCCGTTTCTCTATCCAAGGAACTCTTCAGAACCAACACTGGCATTTTTCCTTCGCCAGTCCGAACGTCGAGAACAAAATAGTCGTTCGGAAGGAGCTCGTATTTTTGTACGGAGTTGTTTCCAATGTCCAAATCGTGAGCCGACTCGAGGGGAAAACGCATTCCTGCTTTAGAACGCTCAGATATTTGTAGGTGGAATTGTCTCTTTGGGAAAGTGGGATCATTGTCATTTACATCGAGAATCTCCACTGTAACCTTGTAGAGCTTTAAGGGGTTTTCAAGCAAACCGCCCAAGGATAAAACACAGCTCAGGCTCCGGCCGCAAATCTCTTCTCTGTCAATTTTATCCTTCACGAATAAAATACCAGTGTCCAAATTGATCTCCACATATTGTTTCCTCGGACCGGATACAAGCCGAAAGCTGCGAGTGGAGAGCTGCTTTACATCTAAGCCTAAATCCTCTGCAATATTTCCAACAAAGGCGCCCAGCTGCAATTCTTCAGGAATCGAGTAACGAATCTGCCCAAGCACCAGATTCCACGAGGAAAATGCACAGTACAATAATTGGCATTTTAGCAGCGAATAAATGTTATATCTCATTTCCAGCTTCCTACATTCCCCTTTGTTTCAGAACGTGCTCGCACAATGAAATATCCTCATTACAGATTTATATTTTAAGGTTGGAACATCTACCAAGTGCAGATACCTGGATGTTTCCCGAATCTCTCGAATTATTTGAATTAAATCTTCTAACCTTGTCTAAAAGTACACCCGAGTTGCTCCAATTTTACACTGCGTCTGGTCGGACGTGATGGTGTCTGGGTAGTGAAGGGGGCAGTGCGGATCCCCAGTCGCATTTGAGCTTCTAATTGGTGGATACCAGCACATTGAAAGTTGACCAATGAATGCGTGTTCTGTTTCTTAAAGCTGCACTGTTCGAAATGGTTCAACGTGCTTCGATTTATTGTTGCACAATTTAAAATTGGATTAAGCGTTACGTCAGTGTTCTTCATTCTTTCTGCCTTTTGCACGGATTGAAGTTCTACAACCACAGTGCAAAAAAAAAAGCTTAAGACTTGGGTTTCCAAAGAACAAATAAAAAGAAGATCTTAAACATTCAACAGCATTCATTAGTTTTATTCAATTCCCATATATGTATGAATGTTCACTCATGGTGTTCATCGCCAACTAGCTGATATTTCACTAAACAAAGAATACATTATTTCCCTTTCTTTGACACAATAAAACAATATTCATTAATCAATTGAGAATTCTCTCATCCTCAATTCCCTTCTAAACATCCAGCCCACTCTTTTGTTCGAGCAAAGGCTAAATAATACAGATGCTGGACACTTGATATTAAAATAAGCCAGAGAATTCTCGAGAAACTCAGTCAGCCTCGCAACATCTATGGAGAGAGAAGCAGAATTAACGTCTTGAGCCCAAAGAGTTTACTCCAAGACTGGTGGATGCTGGAAGTTATTGTTTTCAAAGGTGTTGACAAAGGTGGTAGGGGGCATTAAATAGATGGGGTGAGTACCCACAGTTCTGTCAACAGTGTAGAAGAACGTCGTTTTTCCGCCCCTTCAGTTTTGAAGGTAAGCATTTGGACTCAAAACAATAACTGTTCTAATCCTGTTAGCATGCTGTTTGTTCTTCAATGAACTCTACTCTTTGTGTTACGTATCCATTGACCTGTAGAAAATAAAATTAAGTCTCGAAACTTGCGTGAAATCGATATTCATATGCTGAAACAACATAACACTTCCTCCAAAATCTTACACAAGGCACAATATGTGAACTGCATTTTCTTCCATTTAACTAATGGCTTTCAATATTTTAAATGCAAGCAAATACGACCGTTCCTGTCCACCTTTCTACAGTGAACTATGCATTCGTTGTTGTTAAAAAGTACTCATTGTAAATGACTATAATCATCACGGTCACCTTTGAAGTTCCAACGTAATGAAAATATTTTTTCTCAGTATCAAAGGCAATACTCAAAAAGCAATCATAAAATTACTTCCAAAGTGTCAGTAGAATTAATTGTTTGGACTCCCAATTTTTAACTTTTAAGTACATGTCGGTTTGCTACATTGCTACATCTTTCCTTTGCCTTAATATTTCAATGTTTAGCATGTGCCTCCCTCCAGTTTCTGACGTTTTCTCCCAAATGTTATACGTACAAACCTTTTAACTTATGCAAACCAAGTAAACCTAATGTCTCAAAACCCCTTCTTATTATTAATACATGTGATTCTGAAAATCATTGTTCTGCTCACAACCCGTCATTTTCTCATGTACATCTGCTTAAGTAAATTAATTATCTGACCATCGAGGTTCCTTGTGCTTTAGAATGGTTATGAATGGTAATAATCCAAGAAAGCATCCAGGAAGAAGATGCCATTCATTCTACGTATTCTACATGATGTAAAATAGTATGTTGTGAGGAACTCTTGCCGTGCAAATAGCCATGCAGGTACAGACCTTTGTACATGTGTGGGAAACCAGGTGTTAGTTGCAATGTACAATGTCGCAGTTCACATCAGATATTGTCAGGATGGTTCTGATTTCCAGTTCCGAAAATGTTCAAGTCCTTTTTCTTAATTCACTCGTGGGACTTGTGCACTACTGGCTATCCAGCATTTATTGCCCATCCTTGGATGTCTTGAGAAGGTGGTGATGAGCTAACTTCTTGATCTGTTGCAGTCCATGTATTGTGAGTAGAATCGCAATCTCCTTACGGAGAACTCCAGGATTTTAACCCAATGACAGTGAAGGCATGGTGATATATTCCAAGTCAGGATGCTGTGCAGCTTGGAGGGGAACTTGAAGGTGGTATTCTCATGTTTCTGCTGTTCTTGTCCTTCTAGATGGAAGTGGTTCTAGATTTGAAATGTGCTGTGTTAGAAGCCTTCGTGAATTTCTGCACTGTATCTTGTAGATAATATACACTGCTGCTGCTTGACATCGGTGGTAGAGGGAATAGATGCTTATTGATGTGATGTCATTCAAGTAGGCTGCTTCTTTTCTTGCATCTTGAGTGTTGTTGGAACTTCACACATCCAGATAAGTGGGCAGTATTCCATCACACTCCTGACTTGTGCGTTGTAGATGGTGGGCAGACTTTGGAGAGGCAGGAGGTGAGTAACTCACCAAAGTATTCTTCGACTTTGATCTGTTCCTACAGCCACTGTGTTTGCATGGCGAGTCCAATTGTGTCCATGGTCAATGGTAGCCCCCAGGACTTTGATAGGTTGTCTTTATTATGCCATGTTAAAATCACTAGTCATCTGGAGCCATGTTAATTCTCATTCACCGTTATCACCAGTCATCAAATCTATGATACTTAAAATCCTGAACCAGAATCACTTCTATCTTGAAATGGGCATCGAAAATATTCATTAATGTTATATATTGATTTGGTCCAGATTTGGGGGAACACTTTGATCTGTCCTGTTTTAGTTTATCGTGCTACCTATCATTGTTATTATGACTTACAGTTTTCTGTGCTTCGCAATCCTTAATTGTACCATCCAGTTAATGATTGAGAAATGTTTTCCCATTATAGCTACCTCTAGTTTGAAAATGACAACCAAGCAATTTTTGGCACTAGGTACTGTACATGAAAGAAAACGCTGAAACATATTAGCAGTTCAAAATTAATATTTCCTTCTGCTCATGTTGTTTTAATTTGCCAGCCTACAAACACTCCTTCTAACCTTCATGAAAGTATGTAAAATTGTTGTAGAGATTAAACATATGCCGATAAAAGTTCAAGCCTCGATCTTCAAAAGCTTTGAAGATCGCACCATAAAAGTGTTCTTTCTGCTCTAATACAGGGACTTTAACCTTGGCTCTACTATTTGGATGAAATTGGCTTCTCTATTTTTATTTTCACGGGCTAGATAACAGATGTACCAGATTCTTTGGAAGGAGTGACTGGGCTAGACAGAATTCTTTGGCAGAATCTTCCAAATAGGGACATTCCTTTTCGTGGTTCAAAGCGCCTGCACAGATTTTAATTCAATTTCAGTGCTAATAAATATATTACTAATAATACAGTATACAATGTAAATATAAACATTCTTACAAAATATTACACAGGCCTAAAGAAAACTTTCGTCCAGTGTAAGTGAAGTGTAGTGTTCTGCTGCTCTACTTATATAATTCGAAATACTATTCATAGATCGAAAAAAAAGTCATACTAATTTTGCAGTGACTTATCAAATATGCAAACCCTTGTGCTAATTACCCATCTTGTTTTGGTTTTGCAAAGTTGTTTCACGATTTCAACCTGTGCTGATAGGCTTCAAAACAAGAGAGAAGGCTGACATATTGTATGAGCATGTGACACTTCTTATTGTAAATCAGTATCTTCAACTATGCTCAGAAATACTACTTGGACGACATAAGACACAGGTCTTGTTGACATTGAAACAAATGCCAAATGATTGTTTTTCACATATTGAATTGTTTAAAAGGGAATTTTGTTTCATTTGTATGAAGTTTAATAGTATATGACAATCTAATAAATGTATAATGATCAGAGACTCAAAATTATGTGGACATTAGATAGTTAGCGTGGCGAAGGGGAGACTGTGATAACTAGGAACTCGGCAACTCATTTATGGTACTGCAATTCGACCGTGCAATGTTCTGTAGCGACGAATAGAAAATGTGGAAGAGCCAATAACATTGTTCTCCATTAAGCTTGCTTATATGATGATTGCCTGAACTGTGGCACATTGTCATTTATATCAGAAATCTACACCTGAATGATTTTCTCTGATGCAAGAGGAGGATGCCCGGCATCCATGCATGTTATGCTACATCATATTTGGACATATGTTCCCGATCTAGAGGATGCTGAGTAAGTATTGCACAATGGTAATCCAAAGGAGAATCCAGTTTAGAGGGTAGTGTGTTTGCCATTTGAATTTGTACCTGCCCATTTTTGCTCATTTCTATAACCTGTGGTTATATGGGTTTAATGTTTGCTCAGGTTGCCTTGGCAGATAGTTCCGTTTCAAAGTTTCGGGTGTACATGGCAAAGTCCAAATATTTACGTATATTCGAATTGGTGCAGAAGGTGCTGACAGACACCATGGGGTCGGAGAAAACATTTTAAACACGACTAATAAAACATAACGTATATACAATCAGAAAGGTTTAAGTGCTTACTACAAAACACTATTACAAACCGTTACTGATTTGAGGATCTAGAAATAGGGCAAACGACCGTGATTATATATTTATACGTAGGTAAATCCTACTCATTTCAAGGCAAATGATTTGCGCAAATCCATACTCACATCCAAATCAGATCTTTGAATATCTCAATTTCCCTAAGAAACGGCACTCACCTCAATGTTTACAGTGTTACTGTAATTTTCAGAATTAATCATTCTTGTGGGTTCCTCCCTGCTAGAGCCATTCTGAACGTAATTTCTTTCTGTAGGTCCCCTGCATGATTTGGATATTATGAATTCTCTCTCTGTTGAATTCAACGTTGAACATGAATCATAGTGGAATCTCTGAGAATTTGGGCCACCCTGAATATGTCAACGTATTTCAGTGGTATTTGAAGGTTTCTACTG